AGCACCTGAAAGACTAACAAGATTTGTGGCAGGGGAGGAGCTTCCGTGAGTCAGCACTCACTTCTTCAGAGTTGTGCCTGACTCACAAAAGCTTATTCGGTGCCACAAGTTTTATTGGTCTTGAAAGTGGCTACTGGACTCTTGCTCTTTTCTATTGCTGTTTATAGTTTCAGATTTTAGCACTGCAGCTGCTGTTTTATTTTATATGCAGTTCTAAACGGTCTATCAGTGGTGTTTTATTTTATTTTATTTTGGGCTGTTAGACTGTAGTCCACCCGGGGTGCTTTTGAGAGAAATCATAAGCAGGTCCACTTAGAATCCTACTCAGGTCTGTTCAGTGGGGCTTATTTCCAGGAAAGTGTTCTTAGGATTGCGCTGTTAGTAAAGCAGAACTGTGGGGGGGTATAAATCCTCTGCAATAAATAGTATTGTAAGTTTGGCTGTAACATGTAGTCAATCAGTCAGGTAAATCAGTTACTTTTATTCTGATAGGCTAAAAAGTGATATCGCCAATTAATTGGGCAGCAGACTTTTAAAAATAGATTTATTATAACTTTTTAATATCACTGCTTTCCAAATATGTGTAGCTGGCAAGAGAAAGGGGAGTGCCTTTTCTAAGATGTCACCTGGTGTATACTTAACCTAAAAACAGAACATGCTTTTTCCTCCAGAAGCTGAGTTTTTATTCATGCACTAAGTTAGGCAAAAGTAATCAATTAATTGACAAATCAGCTGAAACTCACATGGTTGCTTGGCTAAGAGGGTTTTTTTAATTAACCTTCTGGGGAGATGCCTAATGCAAAGACATAATGTTGAGCCAGGCCAATAAATAAGAGTTTACAGGAGATTTCTTCTTTTGCTGGAGACTCCTTGCTTAGCCGATCCGTTTAGCCTTCACAACAATCTAGTGAGGTGGGCCAGTTCTCATTCGCAGGTGTTAAATGGAAAAGCAAAACAAGATATGTTAGCCTTTTTTTTCCAGATTGCATGCCCGGAACGGATGCTCAAGGGTGTGAGGGTGGAACCATAGTTCTGGGCCACACCCTGACCAACGTGTTTATTGGAAGATGTGCACACAGGATCTAGGCAACACAAGGGTTTGTGTTTAGGCTCCTGTCTGTGCAGTCAGAAACCCAGAAAAGGCTAGGTTCCTGATTGCAGGGAGAAAGCCCTGTTTGCATAAGACTGATGCGCACCTTCCAATAAATAAGCATAGTTCAGGGGTACAGCCTGGCACTGCAATCGTGTGTGTGTCGTTCCCCCCCATCCAGTTATTTCCAGAATGTTTTCTGAAAACGGGTAAGTTGCCTAGTGACAGCCAAAATGCATGAAATATCCCACAGTTCACAAGGCAGCTAACATAACTATATTTACAATACAATTCTAAACACAGTATAAAACACGTTTAAACACCAGAAGAATAAATAAAATGGCAGCCAGATAGTTTGAAAGAGCAAAACCTAGAAGGAAAAGAACCCTTTGAGCTACCTCATCTGAAAACTGTTGGATACAACAGTTTTAAATCGGTGCTGAAACTAAAACAGAGAATCTGTGCCAACAGCCTGGAAGCCACCACTAAGATGGCACAGTCCCTTCATAGTTGCCTGTCTGACCCCCGAAGACAGGGTTACCTGGAGCAGACTCTCCAGCAGTAGCCTCCATAAAAAGGCAGGCTCTTGGGGGTGAAGGCAGTCTTTCAGATCTCTTGGCCTTGTGCTATTTGCTCCCAGCATTGGCATTGTGCTGTGAACAAACTGGAAGCTCGTGCAGAGCCTGAAACATGTGGTTGTAGGACTGTATCCTTTCCTGGTTTGAGGTGTGGGAGGTGACGTGTCTGAATCAATGCTCCCTCTAAGTTGTGTTGTGAGCCAAATTCTACTTTGTGAGCTACTGGCATTAAAGTTGTGAGTGAGCAATTTGGGTACTGCATAAATCAGTTTGCTCCGGAGCCCTCCTTCCTGAGCTAAGACAAAAATGTGTGAGCCGGAGGCTAAAAAACTGTGAGCTGGCTCAAAGTAACTCAGCTTAGAGGGAACACTGGTCTGAATGCTACCCTAGATAAAACCTAACTCCTCCTGCCAATCATTTCTTTTTAGGGGCAATGCTTGGAGGAGACTTGAACAACACAAATGGCGCCTGCCCAAGCCCAGTGGGTAAGTTGACACGAAAAAGCCAAGCTGGCAATTTTTGGCAACCAGATTAAATGGAATTTGGAGAATATGGATTCGTGCATTCAGAAGAGAGGGGTCTTCTACAAGGTTTCTGAAGAGTGCTGCCTTTATAATGCGGACTGCGAAGGCTGCTCAAACTCCAGGAGAGCTGTGTGCTTGGAACGCTGCTGTGACAGCTCGAGAATATGGATTCGTGCATTCAGAAGAGGGGGGTCTTCTAAAAGAGGGGTTTCCGAAGAGTGCTGCCTTTATGATGCGGACTGTGAAGGCTGCTCAAACTCCAGGAGAGCTGTGTGCTTGGAACGCTGCTGTGACAGCTCTGAGCTACCTGGTTTCTCAGCCAGAAGTAAAGCTGCTCTTGGCCCAGGGCCACCTCCAGTGTTTTTGGGTGCCCCTGGCTTATCTGACTGTCTAGAACAGAGGTCCCCAACCTTTTTGAGCCCACACGGGCACCTTTGGAATTCTGATACTGTGTGTGTGTGTGTGGGGGGGAGGTGCAGCCGCAAAATGGCCACCACAGGGGGCAGAGCCATCCACAAAATCATTGCCACAGCTTACCTCCAGCTACAGAGTGAAGACCCTTGTGCTGTGGTGATGGCTGCTATCTTTAAGCAGCGCCCGGACAAACACTTCTCAGGGATGCTCTAGGCTGATCCTGCATTTGAGCAGGTGGTTGGACTAGGTGGCCTGTATGGCCTCTTCCAACTCTGTGATTCTGTGATTCAAAGCAATATGTTTAAAAATCTGCATAGCCAATCAGAAGCCTTGCTGAGCAAAAGCCCCACCTACTTTCTAAAAATACTTGGGCGTCAGGAAGGCTGTTGGTGGGTGCCATAGCCCCCAAGGGAACCATGTTGGGGACCCCTGATCTAGAATGAACTAGAGGTGCAACTAAAAAGAGATGGAAAGGAGCGGGGTAGACCAACTGCCCCAGAGACTTTTGCATCTTCGGAGAACACACTGGGGCTTGTTTTCTGTGAGTCCAGGGCCACTGGACGGGTCGGAGAGAGTGTGCACCGCCTCGGACGAGGTTGGATCAGTGCACCAACTGCCCCAGAGACTTTTGCATCTTTGGAGAACACACTGGGGTTTGTTTTCTGTGAGTCCAGCGCCACTGGACGGGTCGGAGAGAGCGTGCACCACCTTGGACGAGGTTGGATCAGTGCCAAGGCAGAGGCAAGTTGGCCACACTGGGTCTTGGCCGGTGGGCCCTTTTAATAGATCTGGGCCCAGCAGCTGCTCAACCTGCTGGCTATTGATGCCGCCTTTTGTTGATCTGGCCAGTGGCACTAGGGTGACTGACAAGTACTTGACCATTGGGTACTAGGCACTTACTCTTTTAAATGTGACTCATGCTATTTGATACATTAAGTGGCTTTTAAAGTAAATGCATTAGGCTCTTTGTGTTTTGGTTTTTACCATTTGACCTCAGCCCTTCGGCCTCGCTGCTGCCTCAAAATGTCTCTATGACGCTCTTGTTGTTTCTAATATGGCTGTTAGGCTGCCCGGATGCAAAGGGGGGCATCATAGACTCGGTAGCTTTTTGATACTGATGCAGAGAGAGACGAAATTTTTTGCAGGTGTGGCTTCTCCTGCAAGACTGATATATTTAAAAAATCTTAGAGGTGCTCTGGCTCTCCTTGCTCCTGGCAGTCTTTCGGATTCTTGCGTTCGTTCTTCTGATCCTTAGGTTTCAAGTGGACAGATTTGGACAAAGAATGCAATGTAGCTATGTTGATCCATTAGTAAAACGTTTCATGGGGATAGTAGTAAGATGATTTGATTGCAGTTGACCCTCAGATATCCCAAAGTTGCTTGATGCCTTTCGCTGCAAGTTTTGGACTTCAACAGAACTCTTTGTCAGTGTGGGTGGTTATAAAGGAAGGAGAGGGGAGAGGGAGAGAGGAAAGAGTTGTGGGGCACCGTGGCAGCTCCTGTCTGCAGCCAGGCAGCTAAGTATATACTTCATACATGCATATGGTGCTTTTATTATGGACAATACCAAACAGCTTAGCAAAAGAACTCCCAACAAGGTAGCTGAAACACCCAAGGTTTAAAAACATTAAAACCACAGCTGACAATGTAGCAAAGGAACAGCTTCACCGAGCACAATTGGGATACTGGCAAAAAAAAAAACTTATCTGGGAGGCTGACATAATTACACACTTAAAAAAGCTACCCCTAGAGAGCAGGGGAGTGGAACCCGCATTGTAGGGCCACAACTGGAGAGTCCCGGATGAGCTGGTTTTTCAGCCCCGATTTTAATTAGAGACTGAGCTTCGCCGGAGATTGCTTCTTCGACCTTGTCAGTTTCCAAACCAGCCCCCCCCTTTTTTTTAAAAAAAAAGCCCTTGTTAAAACTCATAGTTCTGGGTTGCTTCAGAAATGTCGCCCGAATCCTTTTTTTAAAAAAAACACGCCTCTTTGATTTATTTAATTACTGCATGGCGGTGGGTGGTTACGGTTCTAATTTGGCTGCTGAGACATCCTGGCCTTGGGCTGAGATGCTAGAGTAGTCAGGCCTCTGGTAACTTTTTAAATAATTGTGCACAAGGAGGAATTTGGGGAGGCGTCGCTTTTCCGGTACCAGCAGCACAGTGATGGGACAAGCCACGCCTGCCCCACCCAAGTTCTGTCTCCTTCCGCTGTTATCCAGTCTTCCTTCATTCTGAACTTCCACATTCAGGGGCACTCAACCTCTGAATCGCAGTGCCAGGAGGCAACATCAGGGGAAGGCCTTAGGCCTCTGTGCCCTGTCGTTAGCTGTCCGGAGGAACTGGTTGCATGAAACAGGATGCTGGACTAGATGAGCTATTGGTCTGATCCAGCAGGGCTCTTCTTATGTTCTGTCACACCAGGAAACAAGGGAGAGGGGCACGTTTGTCTCAGCTGGTCGTGACCTGGGGGCTTACGTGGGATAGGCTTGAGACTCCAGGGGGCCTGGCCTTGACAGGCATCTGTGTGCCAAAGGCAGGAGAGACCTTTTTTACATTTCACTTAAGGTACTGAAATGCCGAAGAGCAGCCCTGCCCGAGACTCCTATGCACACTTGCTGTCTCTGTCAATCACACGCACACACGGCCTCCGCCATCCTCTCCCCCCCACCCCCCCAGCTCCTCTCCCATCTCCAAAGCAGCCCCCATGTCAGCTGTTGTGAGCGGCTGTTCCAGCTTGTAACTTGGCAGGGTCTGTGAATGTCAGCATTGACGTCACCGAAACATTCCCCTCATTCCAGGAAACAGGAGCAGGGAAGCGAGAGGAGGGCGGGGAGGGGGGGGCGAGACCCTCGCAGAGACCTCGGACGTTCTCAGGACCTCGGCTCCTTTGTCCTGGCCTCTTTTTTCCCATCTTGTGTGTTGGTCTCAGAGAGTAACCAGACTAGTCAGAGCAGGGTTAGTCACCTGGAGCGTGGAAACTGTGGTTCAAATGCCTTGCTTATACCCCCTTGGCATAACTGTGACATTACATCTGCAACTGATTTCCCCTCCCACATTGGTTTGAAAATCTACTGCTAAGGACTGATTAGGAGATCTGCTAGGGATGAACAGTGAGGAACCGTGTGTGAACCACGATCAGCAAGAACATCAGAAGAGCCCTGCTGGATCAAACCAGGGGTCCATCTAGTCCAGCATCCTGTATCACACAGGCACCAACCAGTTCCTCTGGAGGGCCAACATACAGGGCATAGAGGCTGAGGCCTTCCTCTGACATTGCCTTCTGGCCCTGGTATTCAGAGGTTTACTGCCTCTGAATGTGGAGGTTCTCTTTAGTCACTATAGCTAGTAGCCACTGTCCTTCATGAATCTGTCTGATCATTTTTTATATGTCTGTGCTCCCCCCCCTTCATCACATCCTTTTACTCATTGAGGAAAGGTATGAAGGAGATGGCATCTAACTTGGTATAAAAGATTTTAGAGTGTTGCAGCAAAAACACAAACAGGAGTTTTGGGGCACTTTAAGGATCACCAAACTTGAACTGTGGTAGACATTCTAATGAGGAAAAATGATGGCCGTGCCAGTGGACAGGAAAGTCAGAAAAAGAACAAGATGTGAGATAGAGAGCTGAATAAACTCTACCTCACACCTTGTTCTTTTTCATCTTTCCAGACGTTTTTATGAGCCAGAACGGCTTCCTTCATATGTATGTGTTGTTGATTGGCAGAAGTGTGTCTGTACAGTGGGTTGGATCCAACCAACATTTCCGCTGGTGGAAAGGGAAGGAGGGGTGGTGGTGTCTCCCTTGACTGCCAAAAACCCTCTGCTGGGGATCATGGAACAGGCATGGCCAAAAGCCACGTGGAACAGGGGCTGTAAGAAAGAGGGGGATTGGACAAGATTGATAGAAAAAGCTGGGTGGATCCAACTCAAGTTTATTTGCGTTTGTGTGTGTGTGTGTGTGTGTAGACAAAAATCAGGGTGATGTTGAATTATTGTTATAAAGTGAGGCTATAAAAAGCCTGGTGATTGAAGATAGATACCGCTAGGTTATTACGTTACTATGCAGAACACAACAGAAGGTGGGTAGTAAAGAAACCCTGTTCCTACCTGTGATGAGCTAATAATTCCCAGTCTCTCTTGTCCAACCTACCAGTGAGCTCCAACTCAGTAGCTTCTTTTTTGTGTGTGGAAAACATGTAACTTTCAGATTTGAATGTCCAGGAAGATCAAAATTTCTAAGATAGATACGACAAAATTGTGCTAAAATTGTGCTAAAAGCACTCAAAGAGACCACCAATGCCGGCTTCCTCCCCCGACCCTGTAGTATATCCCTAATTTGCAGTGGAAGGGGAGGAGGTATTCCAGATGCAATAGCTGTGTCCCTTTTTGCTATAATTCATTCGCTTTAGGCCCTGTCCAGTAAATGGATGGATCCTGGGCTTTTTTCCCTTGGACATTTTGTTTCTGCCCAGTGGACACGTGGACTCAATGCAATGAAGACATATATGGGACTATACAAGATTCCTTTCTTCTTTCCCTTTAGGGAATGGTTATGTCAGTGCCAGAGCCTCGCCTGGCCTCCTCCCCGTGTCCAACGGTAACAGCATGGGCAAGGTCATCCCTGCGAAGTCACCACCTCCACCACCCTCCCACGGCACCCAGTTGGCCGCCAACAACCGCAAACCAGACTTACGCGTCATCACTTCACAGAGCGGGAAGGGACTCATGCATCATTTGGTGAGTACCACTTTCGACAAAGGAATGCGGACATGATGCTGTGGCGAATGTTTCAGATGTTAAAGGGTTGGCGTGGTTCGGGAGCAGACTGGGTGTGCTTCCCCCCCTTTCTAAAGGGTTGAGCTGACATTGGTCATTGGTAGATTTTGGCTTGTGTGAAAGTCTTTTCCCAAGTTAGATCGGCATTGGAACCCATCTCAGTTCTTGCAGATAAATATCCCGAACAAACAGTGTGTGCAGCCACAAATAAAAGGCTTTGCACATCCAGGGAAGGAGGGGTCATTTAGCTTGTCAAGATTGTTCCCAGTGGGCCATTTGCCTTCTCTCTGTGTGTAAAGGGCCGTCAAGTTGCAGCCAACTTACTGTGACCCCAACAAGGGCCTTTCAAGACAAGTGAGAAGCAGAGGTGGTTTGCCATTGCCTTCCTCTGCAGAGTCTTCCTTGGCAGTCTCCCTTCCAAGTGCTGACCCTGCTTAACTTCCGAGATCTGAGAAAATTGGACTATACCACGATGCCTTTCCCTCCCAGCCATTGCCTGAGAGGCGGCCAAGCAGAAGCCAAGCTGAGCCCTGATGTCACTAGTCGTGTTTTGGGGTCCAACTCAGATCTTGGTGACGATGGACAAAGATATCATTTGATGCCTCCTTCATTTCCTGGAAGAGGAAAGGGGGCAGTCTTGCGCCTCCTGATGCTGACACTCACCTTGGCTTGCTCCTGGGCCTTTACTGTCCCCATCCACCCCCGATGGCCACACCTCTGATTTCCGCCCTTGTGAGAAATAATTCCTGAGATGTCATCCAACCAGAGACTTGCTGAAGATCTCATTGGACTGATACTCAAAGGGGGTGGGCGCCATTGTAGAAGGCTCTATTCACACATATGGTGTGTGCAGAAAAGTTTCAAAGATGGCCCTTATCTGATAGCCTGTTAGCCATCTAGGCAATAGACACATCACATCATGGATGTTTTCCTACAGCTTGAACATACTCTGTTCCTTCACAGTTGTTTCAACCAAGGCCTTTTTAATGTGTCCTTATGTGGTAGAGAAAGGGATTCTCGGCTAGGGCTAGGAGTGGGGTCAACATTAGGGGTTAAATTTAATTGTCTTCCTTGGTTTCATTTCTGTTCTGCTCCCAGACGGAGGATCATTTGGATTTGGTGAGTTTCCTGCCTTCTGTTTGTGTGTGTGTGTGTGCGCGCCCTTGCTTGTGTTCCTGTCTGAAATGTCTTGTCCAATTTAACAAAGTGTGTTTCCAAATGGCGAGGCAGGCCTCCTGAAAGGGGAACCAACCATGAGGGGGATTCACGAGGGGAATCCGAACCTCCTTGGTGCCCAGGTTTTGAAAACCCTGATGGGGCTAGAAGGTGGTTGGCAACTTGCCCTCTTGCCAGTTGGTGTAATCCCGACAGCTGTGTAGACGTTGTGTGCTCTCCTGCATTGGCCAATCTGAGGCCCATTAGGGGGATGATTCCTAAATTTTCAAGGACTTTTAGCTTTCCTCTTTCCTTTTTGAGGCAGAGGGGTTGCCTCTTTTGAACCGGGTCGGAAATCAGAAAGGGTTTATAGTTTTTCTTTGTAACACACCTAGGGAAATGTTGATCACCACTTTGGGGTCCGGAAGCAATTTTCTCCAGGCCAGTTTGGCCAGGGATTCTGGAGGGGTTTTGGGTTTTTTTTGCCATCTTCTGGGCATGGAGCAGGGGTCCCGTGGGGTGTGTGTGTGTGTGTGGGGAGGTAGTTGTGAATTCCCTGCCTTGTGCAGGGGGTTGGACTAGATGACCATGGAGGTCCCTTCCAATTCTATGATTCTATGATTCTACATAAATACTCTGATTCTCTTTTTTGGCAATGATTACTGTAGGTTGGGCCTTTTTGACAGCCCCCCCATCCCCCATGCCATATTATCCTCCTATGTATCTATCTATTTGGAAGAAAAAACAATATGCCGCATAAAAAACTCTCAACCTGCCCTCCCCCGAAGGCAGCTTGCACTCAAGTGCTGTCACTGAAACACCCGCTTTATTCATCAATAATTAACAGTGACTAGCCACATTTTTAAAAAATCAATTAAAATATCATTAATCAGTAAAAGCACCAGCTAGCAGAGAAAACCAATCATATTAGGTTAATCAGGGAATATGAGCTCTCTCTCTCCCCCTGCCCCCACCCCACCCCAACCCTCCTGTCAGTTCTCAGCCAAAAGCTGGCATGAACAGAAAAAGTTTTCACTGGATGCCAAAAATTAACCAAGCTTAAGTGTCGGGTGAGCAGCTGTAGGGGCGGAGTTCTGGAGTCAAGGTGCTACCACAGAGGAGGCCCTTCTGTGATCATGCATCTCACTTTTGAAGGCAAGCAGGGCCTCTATAGAAGATTAGCTGACAGGCGGCTTCCAAAGGATTTCCTTCACATTGTGTTCTTCCCTTCTCTTGGTTTGGGCTGTCCTTGAAATAAGCATTCCCACAGCACCTTTTCCAGACTGCTGTGCAACTCGTTATGTGGCTCTTTCAGATCATGGGGGAAAGCTGGTACTAGGCATGTTGCATTAGCCTATCCAGGGCAATTCTGCATGTGATTTGGCAGACCTGCACCTTGGAATCCATGGGGCAAGACCTGCTGATGTCATATGGCAGGCCCTGCTTACATATTACTTTCACCATTCCAGTCAAGGTTGATTCGGGCTCATGTAGGGCAGGTGGGATGAGGACGTGGACATGGGGTGGGTGCAGTGTCACTGATGCTGCTGTGTCACTTCTGGGTACAACCAGGAAGTGACGACGGATCTCTAGGAATTGCCAGGAGCTTTATCACAGAGTTTCTGATGATTCTTAGAGCTACTCTTTATCACTTCTGGGTTGTACCTGGAAGTGATGTAGTGAACGGTACCGTTGCTGTTTTTTCCCCCCTCCCTCCTGTTGCCACTCCCGGGTAACAAAACTTGCCAGCGGGAGGCACTCCTAAACTAGAGGGACCAAAGGCAAGACAAGGCAGCTTCAGAGGTCAGGTGGAGCCCAGGCCTTGCATGAAGAAAGGTCCATCCATATCACAACCATAGCCAGCAGAAGACGGCACTGAGCGGCTGTTTTGTGGCAAGCATAAATAGTGCTGACTGATAGTCAGCGAAACGTTCAGTCTTGGCAGCTTCAGGCCCTGTGGTGAGCAGCTTCCCTACCCGTGCTTCAGTTGCCCCCTGCTAAATTCTGCACTAGGCAGCCTCCCAGCATGCCTGATATGATGGCCGGCCTTGGCTCACGTACACACAAGCCTTGGAGTGGGGGTGCCTTTCACGAACCAGATTGCATGGACAAAGGGTCACTCTTGTGCACTTATCCTGCATGCTCCAAGTGGCCGGTGTTCACACTGCTCTTTCTTCCCATGTCCTTTGAGTCTCTGTTTCACCTGTCCAGTTAATGTCGGGTGCTGTGTCAATCGTGTGCTTGAAAAGGAAAAACAAGACACTAACAAAAAAAGCTAAGTTTGTAGAAAGATGCCTCACGCAGTGGTAAAAGTCTGGGGAAAAACCTTGTTGGCGAGTGAGCAGGTGTCAGAGAATGGTGAGGAGAGAGCAGCCTGGACGCACAGGAGGAATCCCGAGAAAGCAGCCCAAGACAAGAGAAGCTGCTGGCTCTGGGAGATCAGGTTCAAATCCTCGCACTGCCAAGAGGCTTGCTGGGGGCGACTGTGGACCCAGCCATATTTTCTCAGCTTAACTTGCCATCCAGGGTCGTTGATAGTGGTTAAGTGCACGGATTCTAATCTGGGAGAACTGGATTTGATTCCTGACTCCTCCACATGCAGCTAGCTGCTGGATGACCTTGGGCAAGCCATGCTTCTGTCAGAGCTGTTCTGGAAAAAGCAGTTTCTGTCAGAGCTCTCTCAGCCCCACCTGCCTCACAGGGTGTCTGTTGTGGGGAGGGGAAGGGTAAGGAGCTTGTAAGCTGCTCTGAGACTCCGAGTGATAGTGAAGAGTGGGAGTGTCTGGTGGCTGCAAGTTCTAGCTCTTAGCGTTGTGCTAGTGGCAAGCTAGACCTGTTTTTAGGGACTGAGAGAGCTCTGAGAACTGTGACTGCCCCAAGGTCACCCAGCTGGCTTCATGTGTAGGAGTGGGGAATCGAACACGGTTGTGCAGATTAGAGTCTGCCACTCTTAACCACAACATCAAACTGGCTCTCACCCTACCTAAATGAACTTGTTAGACCTGTGGTCTACCTAATCCTTTCAACTCGCGATGCCGAAGATTAAACCTGGGACCTTCTGCCTATCAAGCGGATGTTCCACCACTGAGCTGCAGTTTAAGGTCTCGAAGCAAAAGATGAACTAATCCCTCTCTCTGTCTCTTTCAGGTGATGTGAAGAGAATCAAAAAGGAGGACTCAGAGGAGGAGGAATCTGGCCAAAACATAAAATACCAAGGCTGGAGGAGACTCTTGACCCAGATCGTGGAGAAGCACTCGCACTCTGAAAGGGTGGCCTTGCTCCCAGTGGTGCAATCCACTCTGTCCCTTCAGGGTTCTACCACTCGATGTGTTGATAAAGCCGAAGGCCCCGTCAGGGAATAGATCATTGCCATCTCACCTCTCCGATGCTCCTCCTAGAGGGAGCCGTTCCAGAGTAGCAAACACATACAAAGTGAGCTTTTGACTCACAAAAGCTTGTTCCCTGGGAAATTGTATTGGTCTTTAAGATGCGACTGGACTCGCATTTTGTTCATCCTGAATCGTTCCCAAGTGGATCAAGAAGAAGAAGAAGAAGAAGAGGAGGAGATTGGATTTATACCCCGCCCTTCACTACCCAAAGGTGTCTCAGAGCGGCTTCAGACACCCTGTGAGGTAGGTGGGGCTGAGAGAGCTCTTGACAGAAACTGCTCTTTTTCAAGAACAGCTCTTATCAGAGTTACGGCTTGCCCAAGGTCATCAAGCCAGGTGCAAGCGGAGGAGTGGGGAATCAAACCCGGTTCTCCCAGATGAGAGTCTGTGCACTTAACCACTACACCAAGACCTAAAGGGTAGGGGGAGGAGATGGCAGTGAATTCAGAAAATTTATAGGGGCTCAAAAATATGCGGGGGCTCAAGAATTTGTTCTCTCCAGAGTCCCCATTCTGTGTCCAGAGGCTTGCCTGTGGTCTCCCCCCCCTCCTCCCATTTAAAGGACCTGAGGTGACCTTCTGAGTGAAGAAAGGGGAGGGAGCGGACATCCCAGCCTCACCATGAAAAGAATTTGGTCTCAGATTCTCCGAAGAGGATGGGGACCGTGGTCACAGCCCCAGCTAATGTCAGCTGCAGGCGCCTGCCAGAAAAACCGGCTTCCCCCGGCTCGATGGCTTAATAATTATCTCCCTCGGCTTAGTCTGGACTCCATGATTTGGAGTCGACTCATGCTTCATAGGGGTGCATCTGCAGTCCATGCAGCAAGAGTGCCTCTGTACTTGGCTTGGGAAATAGGGCATCTGAGTCGAGAATTCTCTCAGGAATACTGTGGGTGTTCAGGCACTAAGGCTTTGCATTTCCTCCGATTTCCCCCTTTTCTTCGTAGGTTGGTTTGCAGACCTTTAAAATTGGTGTGTGTCCCCCCCCCCCACCTCCAGAGGCAGTTTGGTGTGGTGGTTAAGAGCGGCAGACTCTAATCTGGAGAACTGGGTTTGATTCCCTGCCCCTCCACATGCAGTTGCTGGGTGACCTTGGGCCAGTCACAGTTCTCTCAGAACTCTCTCAGCCCCACCTACCTCACAGGGTGTCTGTTGTGGGGAGAGGAAGGGAAGGCAATTGTAAGGTACTCTGAGACTCCTTTGGGTATTGAAAAGGTATAAAAACCGACTCTTCTTTTTTCTGCCTCCTAGGGTTTCTTATACACAATTCTTTTTAAAAAATCTAAGCAGAATTTCTATAGCTTGTATAATTATGCAAATGAAGCATCTTTGCATCTATTTGCATGCACGTGTCCGTGCTTGGTATTCCTACAATAGGGCAGAGGGCTGTTAGAAGCGCTAAAGTTGACCTTCCTATTGGAAAGATCTAGCCTGGCTGAGAAGCACATACTTGGCTGAGTTCAGACAGAGCACAAAACCTTGATTAGCTGGTGAAACCAAGATTCGGTTCCCAGATAATCATTCAAATCCTGGCTTGCCTGAACAAATGCTAGTTTCACCACCTTCCCTCTTTCCATCACAGAAGAAGAAGAAGAAGAAAAGATTGGATTTATACCCCGCCCTTCACTTGGAGTCTCAGAGCGGCTTACAAACTCCTTTCCCTTCCCCTCCCCACAACAGACACCCTGTGAGGTGGGTGGGGCTGCGAGAGCTCTGACACAAACTGCTCTTTTTCAAGGACAGCTGTGCCAGAACTTGTGACTGACCCAAGGTCACATCAGCAGCTGCAAGTGGAGGAGTGGGGAATCAAACCCGGTTCTCCCAGACTAGAGTCCACGCACTTAACCACTACACCAAACTGGCTCTCCATGCAGCAAGAGTGCCTCTGTACTCTGTACCTTGTTGCAGAGACCCACCTGCAACAAGGGGATAAGCCAGGATTAAGCCAGGTAGTCATTTATCATGCCAAACCATAGTTAGGCCTAACACTGGTTAATAAAACAATTTCAAACTAGCCTTCAAGATTTCTGGTTTCATGGAGGAAGCTTGAACCCTCCCTGCTCCCCAAGCAAGGCTGGAGAAACCTGCACAAAAGGATGCTGCTGTGTTTCCCGCTATAACCACCTTCCCTTTCTCTCCTCTCTTTGTCCAGCAGAACACTCAGAGACTCGTCGTGTCTCAAGCGACACATTCTTTGACCACACCAGTCGTTTCCGTGGCTACTCCGAGTCTCCTGACACAGGGCTTGCCCTTCTCGGCCATGCCCACAGCATACAACACAGGTAAGCCTCAGAGACCTTTGTCTGCACGAGTTGTGGATGGAGGGGCGGGTCATTCCTCCCCTCCCCACTTTGAAATCGAGGCACATCCTGGCTCCGCATTATGCTTCCTATGTGGAAAAGAGCTCTTCCTGTTGAGAACCCCCTTGCTTATTTAAATCCTGTTATTGCATGCTGGTGTTCTCAGAGGGGGTTCACATAAGCAAGGTAAAGCAATGGGAACAGCACAATACCCTTTCTGGGTGGAGGGAGATATGCCACAATGGATGGGGAGTTGAACATAAGAACATAAGAGATGCCAATGTTGGATCAGGCCAAAGGCCCATCCAGTCCAACACTCTGTATCACATCGTTGCCAGAAATACCAGTGCCATCAGGAAGTCCACCAGTGGGGCCAGGACATTAGAAGCCCTCCCACTGTTGACCCCCCCCCAAGCACCAAGAAGACAGAGCATCACTTGCCCCAGAGTCCCTATCTATACCTTGTGGCTAATAGCCACGGATGGACCTCTGCTCCATACGCTTATCTAATTCCCTTTTGAAGCCGTCCATGCTTGTAGCCGCCACCACTTCCTGTGGCAGTGAATTCCAAGTGTTAATCACTCTTTGGCTGAAGAAGTACTTCCTTTTATCCGTTCTAACCCGGGCTGTTCTAAGTTGGGCTGATATTTCTCCTGATGCTTTGGGGGGGTGGCTCTCAACAGGCGCTGGATCCAGGTGTGAAGGAGGGGCGTCTGGCTGCTTTCTTACCTGCCGCTGATGTCCCCATTGATGGTCATCAGAGGAGTGCAGGAGGGGAGGGGTCCTCTGAGCTGGATCCAGGAGCGATGCCTCCCTCTGATGACCTTGTTAATGGAATTCCTGTAAGCTCCCTGGCAGAGAAGATCGGGAACGGTTCTCCTTTATACAATGAGTGATTAAAAGGTGGAGTCGATGCCTCCCTCTGATGACCTTGTTAATAGAATTCCTATAAGCTCCCTGGCAGAGAAGATCGCAGGGAACAATTCTCCTTTACACACAATGAGTGATTAAAAGGTGGAATGTGCTGCCAGAGGATGTAGTGATGGCCACAGGCACAGACAGCTTTAAAAAGGGATTGCCACAAATAACACCCACCAAGGGAAGGCCATCCACAGTTCACAACGGTATATGCTCAAAACTGTGTATTACAGTCATTAAAGTACAAAGATGGGTTAAGTGGTCATAACCCCATAGAATGGATAGGCACTTATCCAACGGATTGCTCATACCAATTAAGCATATTTTACAAAAAGAACATGTTCAGAACCAGCAGCAGGTTCCTCTGTAATTCCATACATGATTAAGTGTCCATAGACTTCCAAACAGAAAGTAAGGGCGAAAGAATAACAGCCATACGTCTCTTCCAGGTATAAATCAAGATGTTTCAATGATCTTCAACAGCGGCTGGTAAAACGGAAACCCGATTTCCAAAATAACATAGGCACAGCTCAAAAACTTCAATGAAATCCTAGATTCTGGGGGAAATTGGCTAATCCACTTCAGAGTGCTGCTGTTGAAAGCCAGAGGGGAGGTAGTCTTTCCGTACCGAGTTATCTCTGCATATAATGCCAAGGTGGCACGCCGAATGATCAGTGCAGTTTGCCTGCTGTTGTGGGCTGACCTGGGGAAGAGTTTTCTCTGCCCGAGACCCTGGAGATCCGCTGCCAGTCAGAATATAAGCGGGCTTGATGGATCATTGCTCTGACATCTAGGATGTTTCCTAACATGTGGTTCTAATGAGAAATTAGTGCAGTTCTGAATCAGGAGTCAAGGAAAGAGAGAAACCCATCAGGGAAAACAGCAAGTCCCATTGCCACACACATCTTTCTTTTTACTTGTGCTGCTGCAGCCCTCAAAATATCTTGGGGGGGGGGACAACTCTGGAGCCCTGCCCCTGGGTCATGGTTCTGGATGTTCCAACAGCAAAAAGGGGAGTGCACCCTTCATGAACATTTAGAGGAGGCCCCCCCGGCCTTTTTGAGCTTATGAGAATCTTTGGAATTCTAAATAACACAAAAAAGGACCATGGTGTTCCGTAGCTAGTATAGAAAAGAATGCCACCGTGTTAAGAATAAGATACCAAATATTTATAGTGGTTATGTTAACATTCAGTATTTGGGAAGAATACTGAATGTTAGATAGCCACTATAAATATTTGGTATCTTATTCTCAATGCGGTGGCCTTCTTTTCTGTACCACCTTTGGAAATCTGGCAAAGTGTGGTGGTGGGTGCAGCTGAAAAATGGCTGCCAGAAAATGGCTGCCACAGTCACACGGTGAAGATCCTTGTGCAGTGGTGACAGCTGCGACCAAAGCAATGTTTTAAAAAATGTCCACAGTCATTCAGATCTCCAGCAGCCAGTCAGGAGCCTCACTGGGCAAAAGCCCCACCTGGCCTTGCCCGCTTCCTTAAAAACACTGGGCAGCCACCAGGGAAAGGTGTTGGCGAGCAGCATGGCCAGGGTTGCCAGATCCTCTCAAAGCTCCAGTGGGGGGATTTGGGGGGGGCGTTCCAGGGGTGGGCAGGGACGTCCCCAAGCCCCACCCCAAGCCTTGCCTCCAAGAGCGACCACCCACACAGCCACCCGTCTCCCTCCCCTCCTGCCCAGTTTAAAAGGCTAAAGCTGATCGACGTGGACCACGTGGACCACCGACCAGCTGGAGGGCTCTTTAAATGTAGCAGGAGGGAGGGAGAGGGGCAGTCGTGGGCCACACGCTCGGGTGGGGGCTGTGGTGCACGGGCTGGGGGAAATGAGGGGTGACCGGGGGTGGTGGTCGCTCTTATGGGCGGGGCTCAGGGTGGGGCTTCCCTCGCCAGCCAGCTGCCAGGGGCAGATTGAAGCCCCCAGAAGCAGGGGAATCCCTGCACGGACCTGGGGGCTGACAACCCTAAGCTTGGCACCCACAGGCGCCATGGTGGGGGGCCCTGGTTTAGAGGAATCTTCTTGTCTGAAAAAGCAAAGAGAGTGACAATGCGTGGAATTGCTGATCTGTTCAGCTGGGGGTAAAGAAGGTTGTGATTATTTATCGGGAGGAGGAAGAGATGGATGCCCAAAAGCCTCTAGGTGGACGTGCAAAGGAATCGCACAGTTTTTGTGCAGCAGCACATTTGTTTTATTTATTAACTTTGACTTTTAGGCCACCCACCCCTGAAAACAGGGCTCAGGGTGGCATACAACAGTGCTAAAAATCACAAATCTTACAAAGGTTTCGGAGTTAAAATACATAAAAATACAGCCATGGCAACCCAAACCAATCTGATGGCGATATTCCTGGAGTATCATTGCCTCATAGAGGAAGGCGGTGGTGATGGAAGAGGAAGAGAAGTGCCAGACTAGATAGAAGACCGTCACTGTCCTCAACCAAACGCCTGGCGGAACCTCTCTGTGGATCAACAAGAAGTTTCCGCCAGGCACGGATGCTATTCGACAGAGAGTTCCACCAGGTGGGAGGCAGGGCAAGGCAGGAAAAGCCCTGACCCTAGTTGAGGACAGCTGGATGTCTCTCGGGCAAGGGACCACCGGGAAGTTCTTATCTCCTGAATGTAAGGCTCGTCTGGGGGTATACCAGGAGAGGTGTTCCCAAAGGTATGTGGGTCCCAGGCCGTTAAGGGCTTTAAAGGTTATGTGAATGAGGAATGCATACTTTGGCCCAGCATCTCTTCCAAATCTTCCGGTAACCCTTGTGCAAGCTCTGCAGTTTCTTCAGGAAACCTCCGCTGACGTTGAGCATACGGCAGCTTCATAAACGTGTGGCTTTGGGGTTCCAGGTAAATAATTCAGGCAACAATCCATATCTGGATGGCAGGGCAGGTTTTGAATTCCGAAAGTCCAGGCTTTAACTCTGGTTAAAGGATCTTGGGCGGCAGGACTGGGAAAGAACCGTTTGCCAACTGGAACAGACAGTTATGTGCAAGAGAGACCAAAGGTCCTGGGCTGCTGTGTATGTTGTGTAGAGCACCCATCGTGCTTGTGGAGGGTTCTGGTTCAGTCGTGGCATCTTTTGGATCTCAGAGCCTAAGATCTCAGGTCTTTATCAGTCTGTACAGGCAAACTGCATGTGCAGCCTCAATTTGTATTGGGGCTGAGCAGGGAGGAAGAACGGATTTAACCCTTCACTGCCTGCTTGGTTCTACTGATCAAAACTGGGCTCCCTGCCAAGACCTGTCATTCAAAACCTGTTTGTTTTCCCGGCTTTTATTGACTGCAATAAAAAAGGCCAATGCTATGCTGGGGGTTATTAGGAAGGGTATTGAAAACAGATCAGCCAATATGAATCAATGGTGCAACCTCATTTGGAATACTGTGTGCAGTTCTGGTCACCACACCTTAAAAAGGATATTATAGCTTTGGAAAAAGTACAGAAAAGGGCAACTCGAATGATAAAAGGGTTGGAACACTTTCCCTATGAGGAACGGTTAAAGCGCTTAGGGCTCTTTAGCTTGGAGAAACGACGACTGAGGGGAGACATGATCGAGGTTTACAAGATTATGCATGGGATAGAGCAGGTAGAGAAAGAGGCACTTTTCTCCCTTTCTCACAATACAAGAACTTGTGGGCACTCAATGAAATTGCTGAGCGGTTGGGTTAGAACGGATAAAAGGAAGTACTTCTTCACCCAAAGAGTGATTAACACATGGAATTCACTGCCACAGGAAGTGGTGGCGGCTACAAGCATGGACGGCTTCAAAAGGGAATTAGATAAGCATATGGAGCAGAGGTCCATCAATGGCTATTAGCCACAAGGTATAGATAGGGACTCTGGGGTAAGTGATGCTCTGTCTTCTTGGTGCTTTGGGGGGGGGGTCAACTGTGGGAGGGCTTCTAATGTCCTGGCCCCACTGGTGGACCTCCTGATGGCACCTGGTATTTTTGGCCACTGTGTGACACAGAGTGTTGGACTGGATGGGCCTTTGGCCTGATCCAACATTGGCCTCTCATGTTCTTATGACTGTATAGAGCTACTGCCATTCATAGCAGTCT